GCAATAAATGCGACCTGTACTTTGTTTACAAAAATACATGGACAGACGGACGGACGGACATGCATAAATCGACTCAGAATGTGATTCTATGCAGATCATCAACGGGAACTATGGGTCTATCTCGTTTCCTTTTGCCTGTTACAAACAAATGCACAAAGACATAATACCCTGGCCACCTTGTGGTGTAGGGTATAAAAAGTATCGGTCGGTTTTGCCGACAGATGTATACCCTCGGCCAATGTTCGATTATTTTAAAATATTTTGACTTCTGTTATGATTATTCAAATGTTTAATCCCTTATGCAGTTGGCTCCGAAGCAATTGGCCAATTTTGGAAATTTCGTATCGGACTTAAATAAATATGATTTACCAAGTCTTGAATAGAATCGAATGTCAATTTCGCGTTTTATGAGCTTCATAGATACTCAAAATTTTGAGCTTTTGTGGGAGAGGTACCAGAAGGAGTGGACCGATAGTGGAAATAATGGGATGTGTGAAATATAAGGAGAACCTGATGCTTATTTCGGATTTTTTTAACGCTTTGGTTATTCAAAACTTTGACCCTTAGTGGAGGAGATAGCAGAAGGAATGGTCCGATCTCTACCTTTTTTAGCAGATCCTGTGTTGATAGAAATATTCAGATATGCCAAGTCTAAATGAAATGCAATGTCAATTTCGCGTTTTATGAGCTTAATGGATATTCAAAATTTCGACCTTTTGTGGGGGAGTTACCAGAAGGAGTGCACCGATATATTCCATCTTAACACCAGATCTTGGGTTTATGAGAATATTTGGATGTGTGAACTTTTAAGACAATCGGATTCTTACATCAAATTTTATAAGAGTTATAATTATTCATGTGGTGGAGGTACTTGATGAAGTGGACCGATATTATCCATTTTTGCACCTGACATAGAACTGAAGCAAATATTAGGATTTGCAAAGTAGGAGAAAACCCGGATTATCGTTTCTCTTTCTGTGCAGGAAAAAATATTTATTGTTTTTTTTTTTGAAAATTTGGACCTTGTGTGGGGGAGGTACCAGAAGTAGTGGACCGATATATTCCATCTTAACACCAGACCTTGGGTTAAAATAAATATTGGGATGTGTGAAATTTCAAGACAATCGGACTCTTACATCACATTTTATGAGAATTGTAATTATTCAAAATTTTGACCATTTGTGGGGGAGGTACTTGATGGAGGGGAACGATATTGTCATTTTCACACCTGACCTAGCACTGACGCAAATATTAGGATTTGCAAAGTTGGAGCAAAATCGGATTATAGTTTCTCTTTCTGTGCAAAAAATATATTTTTTGAAAATTTCAACCTTTTGCGGGGGAGGCACCAGAAGGAGTGGGCCGATATTGCCCACCTTCGAACTCGATCTAAGTTTGACAAAAATATTACGATGTACGAAGTTTGGATCAAATTGGATACTTCGAGAGTTATCGTGCGCACCAGACAGACGGACGGCGGACATCGCTAGATCGACTCCGAATGTTCTGAAACGGATTTGGTCCAAAGAGACCTAGGGTCTAAACCCGTTATTTCGACTAGGCACGTTTTGGCCATATCAAATGATATATACCCTTTGTAGCCATATGGCTGAGGGTATAAAAATTTGAAGCTCATAATGAGTACTACAACCTATGACGGTAAATTATCTACACAGGTCCACGTTTTCGTATAGCCCACATATAACGGTTTTCATTTAAGTAGTATTTTTCGACGGGTTTTTTGATATTTTTCAAGATCCTTCAATTCGGTGGAGGTTTTTAAAAGTTCGGCCCGGCGTAACTTAGCTGTTTGTTTGATTGTTATATTCTACACCACGCTGTGGGCAGTGCATTATGTCTTTGTGCATTTGTTTGTAACGCGGAGAAGAAACCGTGATAGACCCATAGTTACTTTTGATCTTCATAGAATCACTTTCTGTATTTTTGTAAACCTAGTGCAGCTCGCATTTTTTTGCCCGATTGAGATGATGTTTTACATAAATCATTTTTTTTTTGGCCCAAAGACGGGCCCTTGTGAAATTTGAGATAATCGGTCAAAATTTAGATATAGCTCCCATATCCCTGATTTGCCTTTTATTGTGCACCAAATTTGTAATATTAGGCCAAATCGTACTCAATCTGGCACGTACGAACAAATCAATTTTTTGTTAATACCGGTACCGGATACCGGTTCAGATATAGCTATAGCTCAAATACATATTTTACATCCAATTTGTTGTTTTTCCCTCTCTCTATAACAACGATATTCGGGAAAATGAGACAACATTTTAGGGACTTATTTCTGAGCTGTATCTGGTACCAAATATCATTGTTGTCGAATGCATATTACGAATGTGAGGGACTTAAACACCAAATCGGATGAAACATATATATGCGAGCTATATCTATATCTAAGCCGATTATCACAAAATTTGATATAATTGCTTCTAGACTGAATTCGGTCGGATGTGCCGAAATTCAAGTCATATTGACCCTTTGGTGCACATTTAAGCCGAAATCGGTTGAAAATATATATAGGAACTATATCCAAATCGGAACCGATGTTGATGGAATTTGGCAGAGGTATTTCTAGGCTGTATATGATATCTGATACCAAATATCATTCTTGTGGAGTGTATATTACGCATGTGAGAGATTTTAACACTAAATCGGATAAAACATATATATGAGAAATTATACATGGGCAGACGGACTAACATGCAAAAATCGACTCAGAAAGTGATTCTATGAAGATCCTCAAAAGTAACTATGGTCTATTTCGCTTCCTTCTCCACGTTACAAACAAATGCACAAAGACATAATACCCATACCACTATGTGGTGTAGGTTATACAAAGTTATTGGCTATTATTTTCACTTTGGACTTTTCACTGCAGATAGTTTAAAATAAAAACATTGTTTGAAGTACAAATATTTTTACATCGGAAAAAAATACTAAAAAAAAAGATATTTCCTAGTAGCCTCAACTCACTTTTTCAATTAAAAAATTTCATTAATTTTCTTTTACTGGATTTGGCACTCAGTTAAAACTCTTCAAATTGATGTACATATTTTTCTCATAAGAAAAAAATTATCATTTAATTTACAATATTATGCAAATTTAATCAGCAGCTCTTTTTATGCAAATCTTCCATTATTTTTCTGTACACGCTTTGCCTGAAATGATTTAATTTCTATTCAATATTGAGGTTGAGTGATTCAATCACCTGCAACCCAGAGGCAATGTATGTACGTTTTGTTTTCTTTTAGGCGTCACAATAAATTAAACTACATACGTACGAGTACATATATACACACATACATAAACATGTTATTGGTGTTGTAACAACCCCATTGTGGTTACAGATAAGCGTCCGTAGCTCATTGTGTCGAGAACTTAATCATACAGATACAAAATCGAAAAATATACATTTTTTTTAATTTTAAAATAAGCTTTATTTATGACATTTTTTGTAAAAAAGATAACTATAATTAATATATATAATAGGTACAATTATAAATTTGTATATAAATTTGAAATACCTATAAAATACTTGTTTTTGTTTTTCATGTAATTTGGCTAATGGCGAATAGCATTGTCGAATGGGCAACAACACATGTTTTTTTAGATATAGATTTTCTTTTTTTTTTAAGATTAATTATAAGATCTAATATAAAAGCGATTGTTCTTAAATTGTTTTTGTTTTCGTTTTCGTTTTTTTAAGCAAAGAGGAAGGAAATATATGTGTAGAAGTGCAGTGAAAGGGAATTTGGTAGGTGTAGGTGCAGGTCAAATGCAATAGATAGTATTTTGAAATATTTAATGCGGAAATTTTGTGCAGGCCAATAAACATAAGTAAATGTTGTTCTCGCTTAAGTCATCGAATGTCTTATATTGTGAAAGAATATAGAAATTGAGTGACCTAGTTCAGATTCGGGTTTTGGAATTCTTTTGTTCTTTAATTTTCTCTGACTTAAGTCTCTTATGTGTTCCGGCCTTTAAAGCTATTTTATATTAAACAAATTTTGTTGATTAATTTAAAGCTTACATTTAGGCAGTAGTTTGAGCAAACAACAACAACATACGAATTATAACAAATTTTCAATTACATACAAGATAGGTTTTACATATTTTTAATTCAAAATTGATATGTGTAGTGATCTAGTCCAGAGAATGTGATCAAATGTGCGGCATAATCAAAGTTCAGAGCTAGTACTGAACAATTTGTTTTTAGATATGGAAAAGGCATCGGGTTTCGAACAAATAAAAAGGACAACTTCAAAGCTAGTGGGCCAGGTTTGTCCCATTAAATTTGAGGGTTTTTTGGAGTTTATATTAAGCATATGAGGGCCTTTAACACCAAATCGGATGAAACATATATTTGGGAGCTATAGCTATATCTTAACTGATTTTCATCAAATTTGAAGTACTTGTTTCTAGGACGAATTCGGTCGGATATGCCAAAATTCAGGTCATTTGGACAGATATTGACCATTTGGTGCACCAAAACCCTGAAATCGGATAAAGATATATAAGGGAGCTATATCCAAATCTAAACCGATCCAGACAAAATTTTAAACACTTATTTCTGAGCTGTATATGATATCTGGTACTAAATATTATTGTTGTGGGTGGTATATTACGCATGTGAGGCACTTAAAATCCCAAATCGGATGAAACATATGTCTGAGAGCTATAGCTATGTCTGAACCGATTTTCACCAAATTTGAAGTACTTGTTTCTAGGACGAATTCGGTCTGACGTGCCAAAATTCAGTCCATTGACCATTTGGTGCACAAAAACCCTGAAATCGGATAACGATATATATAAATGGGGGCTATATTCAAATCCAAACCGATCTTGACAAGATGTTAAACACTTATTTCTGAGCTATATGTAATATCTGGTACCAAAGATTATTGTTGTGGATAGCATATTAAGCATGTGAGGGACTTTAACGCCAAATCAGATGAAACATATATATGGGAGCTATAGCTATATCTGAACTGATTTTCACAAAAATTTAAAGTACTTGTTTCTAAGACGAATTCAGGTGGAATTGCCAAGATTTAGTTCATTTGGGTTGATATTAGCAATTTGGCGCACAAAAACCCTGAAACCGGATAACGATATATACATGGGAGAAATATGCAAATCTGAACCGATCTAGACAAAATTTTAAACACTTATTTCTGAGCTGTATCTGATATCTGGTACCAAAGATCATTGTTGTGGGGGTGTATATTACGCATGTGAGGGACTTAAAATCCCAAATTGGATGAAACATATGTATGGGAGCTATAGCTAAATCTGAACCGATTTTCACCAAATTTGTAGTACTTGTTTTTAGGACGAATTTAGTTGGAATTGCCACAATTCAGATCAATTGGGCTGATACTAGCAATTTGGTGCACAATAAACCTGATATCGGATAAAGATATATATGGGAGCTATATCCAAATCTGATCCAATCTCGATAAAATTTGACAGAGGGTTTTCTGGGCTGCATCTGATATCTGGTACCAAATGTCATTCCTGTGGAGTGCATATTACGAATGTGAGGGACTTAAAACTAGAACATCGGATGAAACATATATAGGTGAGCTATAGTTATACCTGATGCCATTTTCACCAAATTTGATGTACTCACTTCTAGACTGAATTCCACCTGATGTGTCAAAATTCAGGTAATTTGGACTGATATTGGCTATTTGGTGCAAAATTAACCCGAAATGGGATGAATATATATATATATGGGAGCTATATCTAGATTTGAAGCGATCCTCACCAATTTCAAACAAATGTTGTTTGCGAAATTTCATTTCAATAGGATAATAAATGCGACCTGCATTTTTTACAAAAATACAGGGACGGACTGACATGCATAAATCCACTCAGAAACTGATTCTATGAAGATCCTCAAAAGTAACTATGGGTCTATCTCGCTTCCTTCTCCACATTACAAACAAATGCACTACGACATAATACCATTACGTTGTAGGGTATAAAGGAAACTTCCATGGAATTTGAATAAGATCTTGAAAATTTCAATTGTTTCGAATTCTGTAAAAAAACTTCAACAAATTGGACTAAATCACCACACATCGAAAATTTTGTTAACTCATGAACTTCTTGTACTACTCCAGACTAAAAATTCCCTGCCTCCATTTCCTTCTCCCCTCTCCTTCTTATAGCTATCGATAAAAGCTTTTTTGTGTTTAATTTGTTTTTTCTTGTTTCATTTCCGATTTATGACTAAATATCTTCTTCATCATCATCGTCATCCGTTATAATGGTCCGCACTTCCTCTTGTCAGTTAAGTAAATCTCCTCCATAGACCTGTATTAAGGCAATATTACTATCAACGGGGAAATCATGATGATTAACATTGAATTCATTCAGGTAGACTGCACCCAAGTAGGCGGTGTCGCGAGCCTCAGGCGTTTTACGATACAGCACACCAATATCTTTGACCTGTATGCCACCATCAAACTCCACAACATAATAGCGAACACGCCAACCATTCGCCTGGAAATCCGGGAAGGCCATATCCTTTGGTATCTGTGGACATTCCAATGGACCACTCAATAGCTCATTGTATTTGGGTTTAAACGGTGACACATAACAGCGTCCTCGCTGTAAACTCACTGTATCGTAGTAATCTCCCAGAAACAAATAACAATCACGGGCATTATTGCTGGTACAAAAACGCAGAATACAATCGAATTCACCATCCTGGGGGCTGAGTTTGTAGGCATAGGCAAACACCAAACCACCGCCGGGAAGTTTAAAATCGGTGGCAAACAAACGAAAACTGCTGTCACACTGGCTAATGCGAAGACAGGAGCCGCCGTTGAAGGCATCATCATAGTGTCGTGTCGCCAAGTCGTGCAATGGCACTGATGGTTGCAACGATTGCCGCGATAAATTGAAAAATCCCTCCGATTCGCCGGCGGCCGCCTCACTGCCATCTTCCACGGCCGCTTTGGGCAGGCCACTTACATAGGTTCGCTTGCCCGAACCCATACAAAAGTCCGTATAGAATGCCAACGTATTGTAGGGATGTGTTGCCAAATGATCCCATAACAGCCACCAGAATTTCTCATTTCTCAGTAGAAACGTCTCGTTTACAGCATCATCGCCCGTCTCCTGTTTTATATTATAGCCGAACTGTTGCAACGTTTCATATGTCCAGGCTGGGGCAAAGATGCCAACGGAAAAGCGATTTTTGGCAATGCGTGCCAAGGTTCGTTTACTTTGAAATTTCGCAATTTGATTTCGGCCAAATACATCAATGCCAAAGAAAACACTTTGGCTGTGAGCCCGTTCCTGTTCGCACAGTGAGCGTGTCTGTTCAAGGCTCTTGTCGTCCCAGCTGTAATTTATGAGCGTGGCATGGGTTGACCTAAAGAAACGCACATTCTTGGCATTGAGCTCATTTTGCCATGACAACTGACCAGTTTCGATGACACTGTCATACCAGAAGACAACACCCGCCTCGACATGCTGTTCGACGGCTTCACGTAGTCGATTTAGAAAGTAACTGAAAGAAAGAGAGAGAGAGAAATATTAATATATCGACATGAATGAAATAAAGCAACGAAAGAAAATAAATAAATTTGACATTGATTTTTTTTTTTGGGAAATGAAGGACAACAATCTTTGTGGAAGAGGGCTGGTCAAGGACATGTTATGGATAATCGTGCTTATACATATGTGTCTAGAGTTTGAACAGAACTAAAAATCTAGACATAAACGTTAAATGGTTATAATCCTAGTATTCATAGCACCGCCCTGGCCTTTATGCCACGTTGAAAGACTTAAAATTTAGATTTTTATACCCTCAGTCATACGGATGGAGGGGGCCAATATGTGCCTCATTGAAATAACGAGTTTAGACCCTAGGTCTCTTTGAACCAAATTCGTTTTAGGACATTTGTCTGTTTGGCTGGCTGGTGCGCACTATAACTCTCGAAGAAAGTATCCGATTAAGTCCAAACTTGATACATCGTAACATTATTATCAAACTTAGATCGAGTTCGGAGATGAGCAATATCGGTCCACTCCCTCCTTCTGGTAGCTCCTCCACAAAATTTCAACAATTCCAAAGAAAATAATTTACTGGACAGAAAGAGAAAGGATAGTCCGATTTTGCTCTAACTTTGCAAATCCTAATACTTGCATCAGTGCTAGGTCAGATGCGAAAATGGACAATATTGGCCCATTCCATCAAGTACCTCCCCCCACAAAGGCACGCAATTTTAAATAATTTTAATTCCTCTAAAATGTGATTTAAGATTCCGATTGTCTTCAAATTACACACATCACAAAAATTCTATTAATCCTAGACCTGGTGTGGAGATGCAATATATCAGTCCACTTTTTCTGGTATCTCCCCCACAAAGGGTCAAAATTTTGAATAACAAAAACAATTATAATATCCGAAAAAAGGCATCCGCTTCTCTTCATATTTCACACATCCCCTTGTTTCTACTGACACAAGATCTGTTGTGAAGATGGAATATATCGGTCCACAACCTTCTGGTATCTCCCCAATAAAGGGCCAATATTTTGAATATTCATGAAGCTCATAAAACCAAATTAACATCGGATTCCATTCAGACTTGTCATATCTCAATATTTTCATCAGCACAAGATCTGTTATGAAGATGGGATACATCGGCCCACTCCTTCTGATACCTCCCCCACAAAGGGTCAAGGTTTTGACTGACCAAAACGTTTTTAAAATCTGAAAAAAGCATCCAATTCTCTTTATATTTCACATATCCCATTATTTCTACTAACACAAGATCTGCTGTAAAAATCGGTCGACTCCTTCTGCTGTCTCCCCCACAAAGGGTCAACTTTTTGAATATCAATGAAGCTCATGAAACACGAAATTAACATCCAATTCCATTCAGACTTGGCACATCTCAATATTTCCATCAACACAAGATCTGTTATAAAGATGGAAGAGATCGGACCATTCCTTCTAGAACCTCCCCCACAAAGGGTCAAAGTTTTGAATAACCAAAACGTTTTTAAATCCGAAATAAGCATCCGGTTCTCTTCAGTTTTCACACGTGCCATTATTTCTATTAACACAAGGCCTGTTGTGAAGATGGAATATATCGGTCCACTCCTTCTGGTACTTCCTCCACAAAGGGTTCAAAATTTTGAAAAACAAAACGCTCATTAAACGCAAAGCAAACATCGAACTCTCTTCAAATTTCACTCGTCCAAACATTTTCGCTAACCCAAAATCTGTTGTGAAGATGATAGATATCTGCCAACCCCTTCTGGTACCTCACCCTTGCTATATCTAAATATTTCTCTTAACCAGAAATGTGATATGAATACGTCATTTATCGAAAATTACGATATCGTATAAAATTGAATATAAATGTTCGATTTCCTATACCAATATTTTTATCTGTATTAGAGAAGTGGAATATTTCGGTCCGTTATATCTGGTACCCCACTCATATTTGCGCATTTTTCAAAAATTTGCACATATCTCATATAAAGTATAGCAAATAGACGATATGGTCCAAATATGGCACCTTGTAATATTTATATCAGACTTAGGTCAGATACGAATTGGGCTGCTTCGGAACCTCCCCCATAAAGGGTCAACAGTTTGAATAATCATAACTCAAGGCTGGGGGTATACATCTGTCGGCAAAACCGACTGATACTATTTAACTTCTTTTGACTTAATTTTAAAAATTTTGTTATGAACTTCCAAAAACGATTCGACTGAATATAAGAAAGGTAGGTATTAAGCAGGACCGAAGATATCATCGTACCTTGAGCACCTCTCCATTTTAATCAGCAGATCTTCGATTTTTTATTCTAAATTATACCTCTCATATAAGGAGGAAAAACACAACGTTTCGGACATCGCCGGAGGATTAAGTGTTCGGTATCATCATGAAGAATGGCGTAATTTATTGTATTGCGTGGAAAATGGTGAGGAAAGCAATTGATATACGGGTTTACATTTGGAAACCATGTTGATGATCGGCTACTGGGAAACTCTATCAATCTAATATATCATTGCTATTGAAATTTTAATACCTCGCTCCCTTCAGGCACCGAAAACTATCAGTGTGGCTAACGACATGTTGAGCTGTTCTATCCAATACTCTCCCCTGACTAATCCCTTTGCTTAAACCATATCACCCTCCACCACCATATCTTCCACTAAGACAGCTCTTTATTTTTCATGTCAATCTTGTTGGACTATTCGCAAATTAATTTATCTAATTTCGAAAACAAGTATATTGTAACTTCATTTTGGCCGACTGATTGTCTGCCAACAATTTTTTTCTCTGTCCTCTTTGTTTCCTTGTAAACAAATTTAATTGTCATTTGGGTTTTTTCTTTTGGCTTCAGTTAAATGGAAATGCTTTTAGGGATGCTTTGTTTGTTTGTCTATTTGTTTGAGCACACCAAGTAAAAAAATAAATATACCTAATTCAATAAAAACACATTTTGTTTGCAATGAAATACTATGTAAACGGGTAAAATCGACAATGTCCATTAATGTTGACAATAAGATATATTGAAAACGGTAAGGATTGGAAAATTTAAAGTCTGTCGAAAAAAAAACAATGAGAAAGTATGCAGAACACAATTACAAATCAAGGCAAATTACGCCCTTGGTTGAGTCCAGTGTCAACATATAATTTCAAATTTTGACGTCCGTTTGGCCCAAGGACGAACTCTATTGAAATTGGCGAGATTCGGTTCACGTTTATATATAGCTCAGATTTCCGGTTAATTTTGCACCAAATGGCCAATATCAATCGAAATAACCTGAATTTCGCCACATCCGACCGAATTCAGCCTAGAAGCAAGTACATTATATTTTAGAAAATCGCTTCAGATATAGCTATAGCTCTCGTATACAGGGTGAGACGAAAAAACTGCAACCAACTTCAAACTGCTGTCATTTCTAAGCCACTCGCACGACAGCTGTTATAATTATTCCAGTGACAGCTCAGTATATTGTTTACAAGCGTACAAGAGCATTTTGGTGAGAATTTTCCAGAAAAAAAGTTATTCGTGATGGAATTCAAGCGTGATAGTGTGATTTCTTTATATTTCGCTGGAAAACCACAAGTAGCTATCGTAGGAGCACTCCAGCATTTAAATGTGAACAAATCTTTCGTGATACTGGTAGCGTAGCCCGACGTCAAGGAAGTGAACAGTAACATCAGAAGAAATGGTTCGAAAATAAAGAAGCGACTTGATCGAAACCCGTGTCGCAGTGGCCAAAAAATTGCTCGTGAGCTGAACATATCGCAATATTCCATTCGGAAAATATTGAAAAATGAGCTCGGGGCAAAGCCATTGAAATTCCAAAAAGTGCAAAAACTTACACCGCAACAGAAAGAAAATAGACTCAAAAGATCTAAAGAGTTGCCTCGCTTGGAAGAAAGTGGTGAAGTGCCGAATTGTTTTTTTCCGATGAGAAAACATCCGTTGTCCAGCAGTTTGTAAACAAACAAAATGATCGTGTTTACTTGCCAAAGAGGTCAGCTGAAAATGTGCACCTTCGATTGGCCACCAGAACTCAAGCGCCGGCCATGGTGATGGTGTGGGCCGCCATAACAGCCGATGTTCGCTCTCCTCTCGTATTAATAGACCGTGGCATCAGTATAAATGCCGAATATTATCGCGAAAATATTCTGGAGGGTGTTTTAAAGCCTTGGGCACTCAAACATTTTGGCCGCAGACCTTGGACATTCCAACAGGACTCAGCACGCGCCACTCAAGAATGCTTTCAAAATGAGGTTCCTCGCTTCATTTCCAGCGCACAATGGCCTCCAAAATCTTCGGATACCAATCCGTTGGACTATTGTGTCTGGAGTATTTTGGAAAGCAAGGTTGGCACTAAAAAATACGAAAGTGCCGATCACCTCAAGCAAGCGCTTCGCCGGGAATGGGACAAAATACCGCAGAGCAACATTCGGGCAGCGTGTGACGGTTTCCTTGGCCGTTTGAAGACCATAATTCGTGCCGAAGGTGAGCAATTCAAACAAATCTAAACTTATTCTAAAATTTAATGCTATTTACGAAATATTTTGCTTTCCTTCAAAAAAATTGAAAAAATGTAAAAATTATGGCGTTTGACTTTGTTTTTTTTATCTCACCCTGTCTGTTGATAGGTTATAGATGTGGTCTCCAAATTTAGAATGTGTAACGGAAATCGGTACAAAAATAAATTTGCCAAATTTTTATTGAAATCGATTCAGATTTGAATATAGCGCTCCCATATATGTATATTTTCGGCCGAACTCACATATTTTAGGCACCATGCACTGTATGTTGGAAGCGAGTGACGGAATTTGATCAGAAAATAAATTTGCCAAATTTAATTGAAATCGGTTCAGATTTGCATATAGCTCACATATATATTTTCAGCCGATCTCATATATTTGATGCAACAAACACTGTATTCTTGTCCGATTCCAATGAAATGAGGAATGAGTGACGGAATTTGGCAAAAGGATAAATTTACATTTCTTTATAGAA